GTCATTACATCGACCATCCATCAGAAACTGCCTTGAAAAGTATCCTACGCTGTTGCCCATATAATCACACAGATTTGAGCTTATTACAAGATCATGCTGTCATTAGTAAACGGATGCCGATAAAAGTAGTCCCCTGGATACCTGACTGAGCGTGTTACGGAGCAAGGGTAGCAGGTAGTTAGGCATCGATTGCTGACATGCTCCAGTGACTTCAAGGGTCATCTCAAAATCTTGCATGCCTTTTCCTTCACAAATAGAATAGGGTTGTATCTTACTTTCATCTGACCTGTTATAATTCATTTGGTGTTTTAGCAACTGAATCTCTTTCAAAGCAGAAACGATGTTATTGTTACATTTAAGTATAGAATATGAGGATTAGATCTCAACTGCCGTTACACAGTATTAGTACTAAGGTAATCGAAACTCCCATACCTAAACACAGATTTATGACTGTCGTAGAACTACAGTTGTTTGTACAATGGCAACCTGGCGCATTGCTGAACTCCATGGATTAAACAAGGCAATCTCAGATTCAAACCTTTAGTCGCAATGGCTACGTCAAGCTTTTTTCTGTTCTGGTACAATGCAAGGTTACACTTCCTGAACCCCCTTGCAAATAAAGATTCTTAGAGTTAAGACTATTTTAAGTCTACGTTAGAATATAGGAAGGACGATCATCTTAGTGCCATGACTGTTATCAGTCTGTGTTAGAATATAGGAGTTACGATCATCTTTATTTATATATAAGTGCCATGACTGTTGTCAGTCTATGTTAGAATATAGGAGTTACGATCATCTTAGTGCCATGACTGTTGTAAGTATAGCAGTTTGATTACTGATGCACCAAGACTGCTTCCCACAAGCAGATACAAAAAATCAAACAAAAGATCCATCAAAACTATAAACATTTACTGTTTGAGACAAACCCTCAGCTTAACCAAACACATAATCCTATGATTTTGCCAACTACATGTAAATACACAGAGCCCTCCATACGATACAACCTACAGAACCCTATATGGGTCATTAATCACCATTTCCTCTAGTTATGAATGAACAATAATGTTGTTGATAGTATCCCTTGTAACAACAATCCACAACCAGGCAACAAAATCCTCACATGATTTTGAAAACAACAATAAACATTTTCCATGTAACAGCAAGCAGCAAGATATTAAATGGATCATTTCATCATTATTTGATGATTAAAAATTTAAATCATATTAAAGTTTTTGATGTCATATCTTTGCAGACAGGATGCCATTCCCATTTTGCACAACTTTCTGTCACACGTTCCACTGGGTCAGTGATATTACATTATTTAGACGACATTAAGCTAACACTACCTATCTGTAATATGAGCCCTGGCACTTATAATATTGTCATGGAAATGCTTATTAAAAATACACACAAATTAAATATAATTTCAGAGATTGTGCAGTAGTGAACAAGCTATGCACCAATGTAGGGGTCTACTGACTTGCTTCATATGTTCGTGCACGAGTTACCAGATCCAGGGACACAATTAGTGGTGTTCCCCTGGTCAATACGAGATAATAACTCCCACACTGTAACATACACTTATGATTGTGTTAGCACTAAGATCGCTTGGTGGAAAGGTAACCAATAAAGTCCTTATGACACAACAAGAGATGATGTGGTAGCATGCCTGCTGTCATGTTGTCGCCAATGACCTTCAGTGACTATCAATTATAACTGGACTCTGTTGTCAATATACCAGAGTCATCTAAAGTCCTCCATTCATTATATAATTTCACGTTAGAACATTTTATCAATTATCTTTGTAATATTCTCCTATGGTGGAATAAAGATATATATATATATATATATATATATATATATTACTATATTTCCTTTTTATCAAGTTCAAAATTCGGACAAAGTAAAACGAATTTTAAAAGAACACTACTTCATAGACAAGTTCAAACCAATGTTAAACCATTGCAAGCTGTGACCTTGTCGCTCTAGAATGTTGTCCCTATTGTGACGACACAATATATATGTAATGGCGTCATACTGTAACAGCTACAATCTCCCTGAAGAGTAAAGAACGAAACATGTTGGAGAAAAAGGCATTCTGTTTTTATTTATCTATGTAATATTTATGACTGAACACCTGTACTATTTTGGACATCTTGTGCGTGTATATATATATATATATATATATATATATACCATATTCACCCTTGTAATCGCCCCTTACAAAAGAGGATGCTTACTTAAACCATACAAGTTCCATTTGTTTTTAGTGGTACTGAGTAGACTTAGTTCTGCTGTTTTCTGTAAATGTCCTGAGAAATACACAAGAAAATGAAACTGTCAGGTAATTTTAAGTCCAAGTAGGGTAACCTTACAAAGATTACTTACAGATTAGTTTAGAAGTTGGTCAGGAATCTATCAATCATTTTTGGCATAAAATTATCTCTTCAAAATGCTGATTTTCTTTTTACAGCTAGCTAGACTAGCTTCTTTCCAACTGATTAAATAATATCCAGATATGTCACATATATTATGAACAGACTGGCCAAAAACTTACAGTTAATTACAGACATAATGTTTTCCTGAAGACTGGTTTAAATGGCTCTGTCAATCAAATCATTCCATTCCCATAGGGTTATTCATCATATAAATGAAAATGATAAAACCTATTTGTTAATTTCCTGGACAAATTCAAACAGCACACTGAATTATGTATTTTTCAACCTTTCACATTCAAACAAAAATGTCATGAAGTACACATATTAGTATGGAAATCAATTACAGATGTTTAACTGAGCTATATTATTTTCGTATCAAATTTCATGTCTTTCCATTCAAGTTATACTAGATGCAAAATTGTTAAACTGTCTGTGCAAAAAAGGTTTGAGTGGTGAGGATCTAGATTAAAACGTGGGTGATGGATGATCTCGAAGCATGAGTGCCCACTAACTGACATCAAACCCTTGTTGTGTCAAGGCTTCTTTTCTGTGCAAAAACAGACAATCTATTTAGGGACTGCTGCACATATTGAAAGTCCAAATCAGATTGATAAAATCAACAGCCAGTTTCATGTCTCAAATTTATGCTAAAATTATGTACGATATTATCAATGGCAGATTTTTCACATTGATAATCATTGATATTTTTCCTATCGACGATATTTTCCGATTATCGATCACTTTATCCAGACTTAACTTAATAAATCATACCCCAATTTAGGGACAGGCTTGATATTCATGTCCAGTGATAAGTCAATATGAGAACTGTTTACACAGAGCAGCTTACAAAAGGTACCATGAGAATACCATAGACATATGTTGTGTCACAGATGTCCGATATACTGGCTGGTTCCGTGTGATGTTGGTTGCTGTGAACAGCTTTAAGACTGTTGATGCTTTGTTAAACAATAATCCTTCCCTCCCTTAGTCTGTCTCACAGGCCCTGAACCAATTATTTTCCCTCCAGTCTCACCCTCCTTGCAATGCTAAAGCCCTAAATGAGGCAAGTCTATATTCCCCAGGTTCTGAATCTCTGGTCTCCCTGGGGCTCCTTTTCAATATAAATGGGTTTATTTGTTTCAATCACAATTATATATATTTAGAGATTAAGTGTTAGTCTACCCCTCCCTCTGTGTAGTGATCTATGTCACATTTATATCCTGCATAGACAAATTCTTGTTGAAATCCATGTTGATAAACCTATATTTACCTGAAAACCATGTTGATAAACCTATATTTACCTGAAAACCATGTTGATAAACCTATATTTACCTGAAAACCATGTTTGATAAACCTATATTTACCTGAAAACCATGTTGATAAACCTATATTTACCTGAAAACCATGTTGATAAACCTATATTTACCTGAAAACCTTGTTGATAACCTATATTTACCTGAAAACCATGTTGATAAACCTATATTTACCAGAAAACCATGTTGAGGTTATATATTTAATGCCAATTCTTCAAATGAAAAGTATATGACATAACATAGCATTGGTTTTGCTAGATTAAACAGAACTAAACATTTGTAAAAGTAAACAATTTACATCTGATCAATGCAAATAAGTTACAACTGCATATCAAGTTTCAGCTTTAAGAATATCTTTTCAATTTTGGGAAAAGAAAGTTCAAAAACAATTCTCACTTTAAAGCAAAATAATGTTTTCATATATTAACTTTGGATTTAAACAAACAGACCATATCTTTCCACACAATCACAATCAGGGCCTAGATTTTTGAAGCTCTCTTAGCTCTAAGATAGTCATAAGTACCATACATTAACATTAACTTACGACTATCTTAGCGCTAAGAGAGCTTCGAAAATCTAGGCCCAGGTATTCAGCAAAAATCGTAAGGATTCCAGTTGACTTTGTAATGGGGAAAAGTCAAAATTGTTAAAAGTATTAAACGACTAGATCAGAAATATAACAGCCCTTTTAGAGAAGCCACTACTGGGCTCTTCAGCCTAAATGAGTAAGAGAAGTTCCAATTGGTTCCCATCTTCAGTGTCTTCAACAAGTACTTGAACCCACCCTTGCCAATGTTAAACCACTTCCTAAAGTGGCATGTAGAAGCTGGTATGATGAAGAGGAATACTTTTTATGGATAGACAGCATCTCTATTGCAAAAGATGTGACATTTTGGTGTAGATCCTAACACCATTATCTATAGCAATAAGGAAGCTGTCTATCCAGAAAAAAGTGTTCCTCTTCAATGTTAAACCAGCATATGAGATTGCAAAAATGACATCAATCACCAGCCATTACTTTTTTTTCAGAAAAGCAGAACATTAGAAATCTTTCTTCCCAACATCAAATATTCCAAATTCTGAAACTTGGATGTTTTAACGCTGATGGATCACCAGCAGACTGTGTAATATGCCACCTTTAATTAAATCAAATAATCTCCATGGATTTAGATATTATTATAATATCAAAACCATACTCTGAATAATAACTCGAAACACTTGGGTAATGAAAAACACTTGAGCTGCTTTGTTACCGACTAATGTCGGATTCAGAACCGAACTCGGCAACCTTATTCACTGGTGGTTTCTCAATGACACACTTCAACCTCGGCTTAGGCCTTTTCCTTGAAAGTACCTCTTCAGAATCATCAGACTCCAACAGAAAATCTGTATCTTCTTCACACAGCAAGGATGAGTTCAGACCTGATCTCCGCTTCTTGGGCTGACTTTTACCAGAGGGTGAAGTTTTGTCAGTCTCTGAAACCTGTTCATTTTGCTTTACCGACCCAATTTTATCTGCCTTTTTGCACTTTGTTGGTGTTTTCTTGATATTACAAGTCTCTGGGGCACCCTTTTTGGAACATCCAGACTCAGGTTGTCCTTTCTTTGGAGTGACCTTGACCTTTACAGGAGTCTTTTTAGGAGTTGTCTTTCCTTTTGAAGTATTGGTACTCTCAGTATTGCTGTCAGTACATGTACTACTTATTTCTGTTTTCTTTGAAGATGTTTTGTTTTGAGTCTTTACTTCAGTAGGAACATTCCCAGTGTCTGCACATGAATTTTCCATTGCGGTGCCCCTTTTATTCTTCTTTGGTGTTTTCCTTGTAGCTTTTTCCACAGAATCAGTTTCTGCATGATCACTCAAACTAGCATCAGTTTTGGGGCTCTTTGTCTTTGCCTTGCATGGAGACTTTTGAACAGAACTTTTTCTTGGTGTCTTAACCTTGGCTGTAGGCGACTCTGCTGCACTAGCATTGCTGTCCTTTTTCAGAGATTGTTTCACTGTTTTCTGAGGAGGAGAATCCTGCTTTGTCTTCTTTGGTGAAATGTTTATTGGTTTATCATTAACAATCTGTATTATTGGTGTGTTAATGATTGAAGGTTTGCTTTGCGGAAACACGGTTATCAAAGTTACTGTACCACCATCAAGAACATCCTTATTCTTGGTCATATTCACAGGTGATGCTGTTTTGATTGCCAATGCAGGCTTCATTACTATGTCACTGACTTGAGCTAGCTTCAAGTCACTCATTACTGGAGCAATTTTCACTGGTTCCGACTTTGCAACCTGACCTTTCTTCTTCTTTGTGGGAGAACCTAAAGCATTACCAGTCAAGGATGATTCAGTCTTATTAGAGGCAGTACCACCATCACCTATCAGGCCCAATTTAATCATTCTGTTTTTCTTCTTCTTTAGCAGAACCTCTTCAAGGGGAATTTTTCTCACATACTTTCTCTTTTTCTTCTCTGGACTTGACCCAGGAGTTCCTGATCCATCACTTGTGGTTGGCATTTCACCTTCAGATTTGACAGGACTTAAAATGTTTTCTTCTCCTTGTGCAGGTCCTGATGATTTCTGAACATTTATAGCTGCCACCGAGTCCTGAACATTACCAGATGTTTCAGGTTCTTCAACTTTTCCAATATCTTCAGATTCACTAATATTTCCAACATCTTCTGTTTCTTTTTTTGGTGGAGAAGTCTGTGTTGTTTCAGGTTCAGAATGGGCAGGTTCACTGATAGATCGTTTGGGGTTCTTTCTCGGACTTGTGACTTCAAGTAGTATCTTTGTCTCTTCAACTTCATCTGTTGCCTCTTCTTTAATTGTACTGCTTGCCTTCTTCTTTAACTTCCTTGGACTCTCAGGTTTAGCACTTGTAGAAATGTCTTTCTTTGTGTCAACATCATCTACTTTGCCAGATGCATCCTTCTCATTTTTCTCTTCTTTCACATTTTCCTCTTTCAAATTTCTTTCTCTGGAACAGCTTCATGAGTTTCACCTTCTTCCTCCTCCTCAGAATCGTCTTCTTCACCATGGCCAGCAGGAAGCAGCTCATCCATCCAGTCCACTTCAGGATTCCACAACATTGGATCAACCAGTTCCCCCTCTACCTCATCCTTCTCGTCAGGCTTCCTCTTCTTTACGTAAGTCCAGCAGTGTCTCTTGCGTCTGTTCTTTCTCTTCATCCCCCTTGGCCAGCCTCCTCTCTTCCTTCTTCCATCATTCTCATCAACGTCTGTTTCCTTACTCTCCAATTTGGCCATTTCAAGTTTCTTTATCAACTTCAGGAGGTCTTCTTCATCTTGAAAATCCTCGGCCCCAAGAAGACCTTTCTGCTGACGAGACTTCCTCACTGAACAGAATGCTCTATAATGATTAGCAAGACTCTTGAGATATGTAAAGTGTTTTGAACAGTATCTACAGGTATGTCTTGGTTTCTGGGCCATGTCCTCAAGCAAAGAGCTCTGAACTGGTTTCAAACTTTGAAGTTTGTCTCTCCCTGAACACTTCTTGGCATGCCTCTCAAGCAACGACAGGGTCTTGAAAGTGTTTTCACATCCACGACACTGGTGCTTTTCCAGAACATCTGTCATCTCTCTTCTGCGGACATGATTGTGAGGGTTATACAGAAGTTCATAGTTCCTTCTCTTCCTATTCTTCGGGCTATCAATTATACCATCAAGTCTCTTCTTGCGACCTAGTATTCCCCTTGGTCTACCTGGTCTCCTTGGGGGCTCAACAACCACTGGAGTTGGTTTTGCCCCATCTTCATCTATTTTGGACTTCATTGCTTCTAGCATCTGCTTTCTTATTTTTCGTCTGTACTTTCTTCTCTTTGAAGCAAGTGTTTCATAATTTTTGGGATCACAGTTAATGATATGGACGTGGAGTCTGTGTATATGCTTAAAAGTAGAACCACATCTGGTACACGTAAACATATCCAGATTGCGACAATCTTCAGAAAATGGTTGGGAAGATGCAAGAAGTCCAAAATTGCACGGCCATGTGTAAAACAACAGATCAATGTCATTGCCATTCTCTATCTCAATGTAGCTGAAATCTATAGAAGGATGCTTCTTGAAGTGGTGCCTCAACAGAGCATCAGTCATCAAGAAATGCTTTTTACAAACTCCGCAAATGTAATTCACTTGACCATGGCTACCAAAAGATATAGTGTTGAAGGAAGAACTGGGTACTGGGCTGAGCTGGAGATTAGGCTTGCATCGGATTACTTTCCCCTGAGGAGGTATCTCTTCTTCTTTGTTATCATCATCCAAATTGCTAACTGTCAAGCCATCCAGGCTTTCTTTATTCCATCTTATCAGCTGAAGATGTCTGAAAATACTGGTCGGTGATTTCAGGTGGTCATTATAAGTGGTCATGACACAGTTATTGAAGCCAGGGTGATCTCTTGGACCACTGATTGAAAATTTCACTTCATCTTCAGTAAAGTCAGTTTCCTTTGAAACAGGACAAATTTGGTTGATGATATCGGAGAGAATCTGGGATGCATTTTGTGTACTATCTTCTTCCTGATCGTCTTCATAGTCTTCGTAGTAGGGTAATAACACAGGGGGTATCTCTATCTTAATACTCTCCATACATGAAGTAATCTTGTTGTTGTTCCCCTCCAACAATGGACTAGAATCAGATGTGATGTTATTTGAGGCGACCTCACACAGGATGGACTCAACAGCATCTTCAATATCTCTATCCACTATGGCCGATTCCTCTGGTTCAGTCTTTATAATTCTTTGAGTCTCATCAAAACTGGCCTCTGATTCTAAGCAGACACTCTCTTGCAGCATTTTCGCAGAATCACTCTCACACAGTTCCTCCTTAATGACTGTTCTGTCGTTTGAAGTGACAGTAGCAGAATAGGAGAAAACTTTCTGGATGATATCACTGATGATAACATTTTTGATCCACAACTTTAAATCTGGTTCACCAACAACACTGGCAACAGACGATGAACCAGACACTGCCCTGTCACTCTGCTGAACCTTGACGAGGCCAATTCTGGCACTGAATTCTGCATGGCTATCACTATAACTTTGTAGAACATTGGCATCAGTTTTACGAACACAATCACCTGCCTCTGCTTGTGGTTCTTCTTCACAGGTTGAGGCATCATGTGTCACAGATAAATCGCTGGGGCCTTCAAGGTTCTCCTTATGAGAGCTAGTTTTTGTTTCATCATATGCTTCCAGAGGCACAGTGTGTTCCTCAGTGGCACACAAATATTTCTTTCCTTCATTGAGGACATCCTCAACTTCCTGTGTCATTTTCTTGCAGTCACTCAGTCCTCCATCAGGATCACATTCTGATGCATTTTCTTGACCAACACTGTCAGTTATACCACAACTCACATTACACGGTTTAGCACTACCTGGAACAGGCTCGGCACACTCAAACACAGGGCAAGATTTTTTCTCATGAACAAGAGAATCACAGAGACAGGGTTGTGACTTGTTGTGCATGTCCATTGGAAGGTTTGAATGTAAAATATCCTGAGTTGAAGGTTCAGACACAGTTCTGTTACTCTGTATCACATGGGTTGCGTCTGTTGGTGGGACAGACTTAATAGGCACTGTTTCTGTAGTGGCAGGGTTAAATGGAATACTGATGTTCTTTGTCACATTCTCTTTTGATTCACAAGGTAAGGAACTGGCGGAATCACTTTTAGTTTTGTCAGGCAGAACAGAAGAGTCAATTGGTTCTTTTCCAGATTCCACAACTGAAGCATCAACAGTTATAGAAGAATCTTCTCCTGTTTTGAGAACACAAGAATCTTTCACCAATTCCTCAACACCAGTGGAAGAATCTTTCACCAATTCCTCAACACCAGTGGAAGAATCTTTCACCAATTCCTCAACACCAGTGGAAGAATCTTTCACCAATTCCTCAACACCAGTGGAAGAATCTTTCACCAATTCCTCAACACCAGTGGAAGAATCTTTCACCAATTCCTCAACACCAGTGGAAGAATCTTTCACCAATTCCTCAACACCAGTGGAAGTATCACTTAACAATACCTCAACACCAGTGGAAGAATCTTTTACCAGTTCCTCAACATCTGCAGGACAATCTATGGATCTATGAACATGAAGTAAAGAATCTCCTCTTGATTCACCAACCTGAATTGAAAGATCCTGTTTAGAGTTTTTACCCACAGAATCACATCCACCTTTGTCAGCACCTTCCTTATTGCAGTCAGTAACAACTGGGGAATACGCCCCAGGACTACTGATTTCTGAAGAAGTAGTTTTTGATTCAGTGATACAGTCCTGCTGATCTGGCACACATTCTTCCACAAGGCTCTTCTTAATAAGATCGTCCTTGACACTGGAATTTGTGGAAATGGAACAATGGATGTTTTCATTCCCAGGTTCTACACAAGGCCTTGTGGTTGATAATGCATTGTCTCTCTCTAACACTTCACCATCATCTGTTGCTTTGGGCACAGTAATAGCACATGAAGCTTCTGTTTTCATTGTTTCTATATCCATCTCAGGTGTCTCTTTCAGCGAAACCTTATCCTGAAGAACCACTATACCAGAACTTTGAACAGAATCGGTGACTTTCTGCTGAGAATTCACACACTGTTCAATCATCTCATTCATACATTCTTCAATATCATAGTCAATTTCTTCAGCAATGTGATAAGGCATAACTTCACCATTTAAACATATGTCAGTGTGATAATCTTTTATATTCCCTGTTGCATTATAAGTTCTCCTTTCTGTTCCAGGCTGTTCAACAACACAGCTATGGTCATCCGATACAGCATCTTTCAGCAGCACTGTATCAATATGAGACTCAATTTGTGTATTGATTTTCAGTGTGTTTTGTGAAAAATCATTTTGGTTTTCAAATCTGCTAATGTCTTGCTCAGCATGAGATTCACATTTCTGTTGAGCAGTGACTGTTTGGGCGTCTTCACCTTCATTGTGTGATTCTTTCCCATGCAAAGTCTTTTGGTCACATCCAGAATCATCCTTTTCAGTTCTTGACTGAGATTTGGGTAATAAATCACTATCATATTCTGGTTTAGGCTCTGATTCAGGAACTAAATTTGCATCCTTTCCACGCACTGACCCAAATTGAGGAATCAATTCCCTCCACTTTTCAACATTAGGCTTCACTTCAAGGACTGAATTTCCACATTGGTTCCCACTTATCAGTGGAACAAAATGACAGTCCTTGTCCGTCCTGGAATCAGAAGAAATCATATCATCTTTTTCAGTCTTAAGTTCTGATTTAAAATCAGGATTATCACGAATCTGAGACTCTGACTTTACTTGTGAACTTCCGATGTTGTTCAAACCCCCATCCTCAAAAGAGATGTTCTCTTCTTGTTCCACAGACTTTCGGTCTGGCATACTAAGATTGCTGTTCTCATCTCCAGTTTCCTTGTTCTCAAATGATGCATCGCTACTACTTCTACTTCTTCGCAGTCTTCTAGCTGCACGTTCATCTCGGAAACCAATCTTATCATACACACTAAGGAGATCCTCCTCGATGTCATATCCCACAATGCCCTGCCATGGTGTGTACGATTTGGGGAAGTTGTATTTCGACCAGTCTATTTGAGGTTGTTCCTCAGAGGCAACAGTGTATACTGATTGGTAATCTGGTATTCTCACATGCTTCTCATAATGGGTCAAAGCCTCTTGTTTACCATCAATATAGTTGTCCAAATTGGTTGCAATGTTGTCAGCTATGTTTGCATAGAACTCTGCCGGGGTTATAGGAATATAATCATTGACCACAACACAGTCCTGAAGCCTTGCAGCTATCCTCTGGCGTGTCACGGTGGGCATGCCATATTTCTTAACCCTGTGAGCTAGTCTCTTGTGTCGGCACATGTTCACATAACTATTAAACTTTTTCTTGCAAAGAATGCAGGCAAAATGCAATCTGGCTTTCTTCTTCAACTCCTTAGTGATTTGAATCTCTTCTTCCCACGGATCTTCCTCCTCAGCTTCTTGAGAAATCTTTTCAAGACGTGCTGACTCAAATTCCTGACTATGTGTACTTTCATTGTCAACATCTGGCTCCTGCTTAACCTCAACCTTTTCCACTTTTACCTCAGCGTTCTCATTTCTGAGCATCAACTCCAGTTCCGACTTGATCTTCTTCTTTCTCTTCCTCTTTAATCTCTTCCCGTCGGGTCCGATGATGATGTCTGGCTTGCTCTTGATGAGCACTCCATTCACCATACCCTCTGGATGCTCGGCGTTGAGGTGTTTGCGGAGACTGGCCGGATGTGGGAACTTCTTGAAGCAGAAGCGGCAGGAGAAGGTCCTCCCAAAGTGATACTGGAGATGCATCTTCATGTTCGCTTCACTAGGGAAAGCCTTACCACACACTCTGCAGGAATAGGGCTTCTCAGCTGGAAAGGAACAACAGCTAACATTAGTCATAAAAAGACAAACAATATGATAATAACAATACTTCCATATCATATACTTATATATACCACATATACTATATATGTATATACCATATATACTACATACATATACAGTCGAGCAACGTTGTCTAGATATTCATGGGACCAAGAAAATTTATCGAGTTATCCGAACTTCGAGACATCCGACCAGGGCATATCATCACATATCACTATGAAAGAAAACAAAACACTTCTCAGTATGTTTTAGTCGTAACAGTGAGTACTTCCTAATTAATTCCTTCTTAATTAACCCTAATTAAATAACAAACAAGTGACACCTTCAACTCAATTAGCCCTAATTAGTTTACACTACCGCATCCCTTTGATTCATGCCGTGTCGTGTGTGTAAACGTGTGGAAACAACCTCAGTTCAGAGGGATACTTGCCCATGAAAGGTAGGTGAATATCAAGTTTCTTTGCAAATATCGAGTTAAAAGGGTAATTTTGCGTGTTGGAACAATGAAATTATATCGAGATATCCGAAATATCGAGACATCCGTATCGAATTAAAAGAGCTTGAATGATAAATTCTGAAGGATTTTGCCGGGACCGAGATGTTAAATCGAGACAACCGATATATTGAGTTATCAGAGTTTGACACAACGTTGCTCGAGTGTATACCATACATACTGAATACTTATATACCATATATACTAAATACTTATATACCATATATACTATAAACCATAACCTGTATATACTAAATTTAGGACTCAAATACTTCGGTATTGGCAGTGTGTGTTTTTGTGATGTCATTTGATGTCTGAATAGATTAACCTAAGATAACACCACAAGGAAAAGGTGGAAGGTTCCTTATCCAAATTCAGATGGGGGCATTTGTAATTTTTCGTTAACTTATAAAGTGGTTGGATTCAGGGGGGTTGAGTTGAGGGTGGAAATTACATATATGAAAAGGAAGCAGTGGCAGTGACTATGATTTTATGCTGCTTTTAGCAATATTTCAGCCATATCACAGTGAGGGACATCGGAAATGGGTTTCACACATAGTACCCATGTGGGGAATTGAACCTGGGTCTTCAGCGTGACGAACAGATGCTTTAACCATCAAGGTACCCCACCGCCCCAGTGACACTGTGGAATTTTACGCTGTCAAATACATGTGGTAATTAGAAGATGATGATGATGATGATGATGATGATATTGTCACAAATAGGATCAAAACAATAGTGTTTGGAATTGGTTAAAATCTCATAACTGATGATTGCTTCATTACAACCGATCAATCATCGAAAATAATTGGTTAGCGTCATTTATCAAATTCTCCTGGTTATGTTTGTTAATGCACAAAACAAAGAAAAAAACATGTAGTTCTTTCAGGGTTTTTTGGCAAATTGCACACAATGCATTTGCAAATTTCACATTTTTACAGGATGACTGATATGTTAGGAACATAAATTACCTGGACTCTTTAAGATAAATTCAATCATGACTTGGAACGAGCTAGTAGTGCTTATGAAATGTAACAGACAAAACAAACCTTGTGAAAAATATTGTTAATGCAAACAAGTGTTCCAAAATTGTTTGTGTTCGATTATGAGAAAACATGATCGATTGCTTGGTCGCTTAGTCATTGCGACCAATCTTTGATTATTTCAATTAATCGGACCACTACTACAAAACAACCTCTCTCTTTGGATGCTCAGGCAACTAACTTTTGTCGCCTTGGAACGGTATCCTTCAGGATTATTACATTCAGTGAACATTAGTAATGCATTACATCAATGGAAATGCAAGACAACCTTGCATGCCAAATATCCTGTTTTTCAAATCTTTTGCAAGATTAATTACTGGTCCATATCATTTGGGATTGTATTGGAGTTTTAAATGATACACAGCAAATGAATCCCACCCAAAGTATGGATAAGATGGATATGGACGAACAACTTCTGAAATAGGTTTGTGATGTTTGGGTAAAGGTTCATAAATTGTAATCAAGCATGGTCACAAAGAAGCTTGTTCATCCGCATATCTTATCATCATGCAGAGCTCCAGATAAGATTTAGCTCATGTGGGTACTGTACCCACTGTATTTTTTTGGAGTGGGTATTATGAATGTTGAGTGGGTATTTCATTTTCCGTTACCCACTGCTTTCAAATATGTGCGTATTTCAGTCATATTACTCACCTAAGTATTATGTCATTGAGTAAGTTTACTAAGCAGGTATGTTCTGCCTTATGTCATACCTAATCAAAACCAAGTTGAATATAATGGAAATGATTTCAGAAAAAATCACTCATCCTATACTAACAGTACAACTTGATAGCAATCGATGTCTTCTTCATTATGCAAGCGATTTTTATAAATATATTCCATACGCATTTGTTTTAAACTTTTTGCGTATCCAACATTTTAAATGCGTAATTGGTACGCAACAATTATTTTTCAATGCGTAATTGGCAATTTTCTATGTGTATTTTACCCGGATACGCAGCTTATCTGGGCCTCTGATCATGATCACAGTATTCCAACTCAAACAAAAGAAATGTCTCTCAAAGAAATTAATCACCTTCCTTTCTCCAGCTCCACAATTGAACTGAATTTGTCTATAACTAGTATTGTTTTCTAAACTATTGTATATGTATATTTTACAAGTGAAGATCTGGGTTAGAACATGGTCCTCAGCAACCCATGCTTGACACAAGAGGTGACTAATGCTGGTCAGGCCCGGTGACTTTCATGACACACGTCATCGTATCCCAATTACGTAGATTGCTGCTCATGTTACTGATCGATGGATGGTCGGATCCAGACTCGATTATTTACAGACCATCACCATATAGCTGGAATACTGCTGAGTGTAGCGTTAAACAACAAACAATCAATGTATATATTTAGCTGACGTAAGTTCTCACCAGAAGCTTTCTGGCTCTCAGTCACTGCTGCCAGCTGCTTCACTGGTTTGCCTTCCTCCTTGATGTCAGACGCCATTTTCTCTACGTCTGCCTTCTCAGTTCCAGCCTTCTCCGGGAACTTCTCATCGTATGTCTCATTCTTTTTATGGTGAAAGTTTGGCACCTTGCGGATGACACCAGGTGTTCTGTTAAGATTCTGCTTCATCTGGGCCGTGTGGATGGACCACAAATGTTTTCGGAGGCCAAACGGATGTGGGAATTTCTCCTTGCAGTACCGGCAGCTGAATCTAGCGGTTGCCATGGAACTGAGCATGTTTCTTCATACTTGCCTCGGAGGAGAAGCGTTTGTTGCAGGTTGGACAAGGAACTGGCTTGTTAGGATCTGAGGATAAAGATGGAATAGCAATTAATATAATACAGTACTTAGATGACAGTTTGCCATTTCTGATTGAAATTTATTAATTCAAACAAAAGATGTAACAAAGATATTTGACTCTACATGAATATTTGTTTACATTTGAATGAGTGAGTGAGTGAGTTTAGTTTTATGCCACACTCAGCAATATTCCAGCTATATGGCGGCGGTCTGTAAATAATCAAGTCTGGACCAGACAATCCAGTGATCAACAGCATGAGCTTCGATCTGTGCAATTGGGAACCGATGACATGTGTCAACCAAGTCAGCGAGCCTGACTACCCGATCCCTTTAGTCGCCTCTTACGACAAGCATAGTCGCCTTTTATGGCAAGCATGGGTTGCTGAAGACCGATTCTACCCCGGATCTTCACGGGTCTTACATTTTGAAAAGATTCTCAGCAATACCTAAAACAACTAAATGCATCATATCAGTTTTAAATGTGTCATAATTGGTATATTACATAGGTATCTATTCTAATTAGGTTTGATGACTACTTAACCAGAATACAAGACAATGAACTCAAAAGGAAGATATCTGACTAACAAGTCCTTGCCATTCCCTGCGTAGATACACGTTTTTCTATATGCACTACACCCTGGGAAATACGGTACAAACTATTCCGTGGAAGCAGTGGTAGCTGAGAGGGTTAGATGGCTGACTTTGTGTGCTGGCGATTAGGTGCCTAACTCTGAGGCTCTGGGTTCGAATCCTGGATGGAACTCAACCCAACAAAAGTACCAGAATTTGTACTGTACTGAGAAAGTGAATGAGTTCAGTTTTTTTGGTCAGAATCCGCAATATTTCAAGCTATATGATCAACAGCATGAGCATTAATCTACGCAATTGGGATACAATGACATGTGTCAACCAGGTCAGCAAACCTGACCACCTGATCCTGTAAGTCGTCTTTTACGACAAGCATGGGCTTCTGAAGATCAATTCCAACCCAGATCATCACAGGTACTTTACTGAGAAAGTGAAATCCCAAATATAACATGTGTTAAGATCTACTTCCCTCATTACAGTATAATGATATTTTTACATATTTTTCTTTGAAAAAAAATAAAATCTGATATCTCAAAGCAGAAAGTACTGAGTAAAGGGACTCTATATTAAAACCACTTACCCATGGTGGTAGAGTCCTTGCTCTGCTCCGATCCACCAATCTTGGTGCTTCCCGAGTTGGATGAAGCTAATGCTGCTGCAACCAACTTTTTCTTGATCTTCTTCTTCTTGACTATATTGACCTTCACTGGCTTCTTAGCCATCTCTGAAGGTTCCATCCTGACAGGTTTATCTCGTCCAGACTCCATCTGCTTCACCTGAACCGCCATTTTGGATTCTGAACCTGAATGCTCCATGCGGACATGCTTCCTGAGTTCTGCGACTGTTGAGAATTTTTCAGAGCAGATTCCACAAGCAAAATTCTTGTTTAGATGAAACTGAAGATGTTTCTTCATGTTGGACTCCTTGTTGAAGCCTTTTCCACACACCATACAACACACTTGTTTGGTTTCTGTTTTGAAGGGAAAAAAAGGCATATGAATTTACAAACCCGATACCATTGCCCAGCATAGTGTACCAGTACATCTATTTCTTGATTTCATGCAATACAAAGAGACCGAGGACACAGTGTTACAGCTATACAGCTATATAAAGTGGGGCATATTTGTTCTTTTACCAATTCTGCTTCAGCAAACCATGCGTATTGTAAAAAGCAACCAATCGGAACGCATGGTTTAGGATTCCTGACCTAACTGATTCATGGCATCATATCCTACCTGCGTAGACCAATGCTTATGACATTAATCACTACATTGTGTGCCCTTGACTTTATTTACCAAACCTGCCATATAGCTGGAATACTGTTGTAAGTGGACTTAAACAACAAACAAGCAACAATATCGAAAAGTGTACTAAACATTAATTTGAGAAGCACAAATAGAATTCTTCAGCTGAGGTAACAAGTTCACCATAAAAATACATTCTGCATGCAACTGATTAAACGGCAAAACCGAGACGTACTAATACTCACATGGTGACAGTTTCAACCGATGAAAAATACAGTAAAACAAAGGAAATTAATTACCATTATCACCTGCTTAAGGAAGTATATAACGTTCAACAACGAAACCGTTACACATTTATATGTTGCATGTCAAAATTGAAGCATACAACTTTATGTTCTTCTTCATGTTCTTCAAAATCTTGTTCATTTTACAGATGGATGTTTTAGCTTGATAACGGTCTAAGAACCTACATCAAACATCGCTCTATGCAATGAACAAGAAGTTGTCATCCATAAAGTTGCATGCTTTATTTTGGCTCACCAGCTTCTAGAATGCCGAACAAACAATGTTGCATGACGTGTCAGGTCGAGTTGATTTGTCAGTGTATGTTCCAATCATGCATGTGGTCTGTTTCTTTCAGTAATATTCTTTCTAAATGACAGTTTCCTGTTAATTCACTGGTTAGTTTTACAAACACCATCCTATACCTGATACATTTTCAGAGGTATTGTTTGTTGCTCATTGCTACTCTGAGCAATATTCCAGCTATATGTCTGCAAACTGTTAAATCATCAAGTCAGGGCCAGACAATCCAGTGATCAATGATCCACGTAAATAGTGTATGAAGATATGCTATAAACCAAGTCCCCAATCAATTTGGTAGCTACTCACCACCAGCAAAGGATGCTGGGAACCTATTACAACCTACGTGTACGAAGAAAAAACTAACCAAGATGCGTCTCCTGATGTCGTGCGAGGTTGTTCTTGCCGCTGAACGTCATGTTGCACTTGTCACATGATAATTTCTTGGCCATCTTCTCCTGGGATGGATGGTTTTGGGTGTGTTTCTTCAGCTCATCCAGGTCATCATACAGTTCTGAACACAAGTAGCATCTGTAAACACCCGGCATTGTTGTTTTCTGCTTACCATCCTCGGTTTCAGCTGCAGAGGCAACTTGGTCCTTCTCAACATCGGAACTTTTCTGTTGCTTATTTGTGTCTTTAGAAAACCACTTGGCATTTCCTTTACAGTTTCTGACTGAAGATTCTTGTAGCACAACATTAATGAGGCAGTTTGTGATATCACTGAGGGGTAGGTACTTTGCATTGATATGACTACGGAGGAAATGTCGTTTTAAACTGAACGCGTGGTTATAGGGGGCGTGACATATATCACAAGAAAACATCTTCTTCCCTAGTTTATTTTCTGCGTGATGTTCAGGTCTGATCTCAAATTGGAATATCTTGCCTGATTCATGTTCACTATGAAGAACCATTCCAGCCATTGCAAGATCAGGTGGACCATCAGTCTTGACCTTATTCTGAGCTTTGACCTTGGGACTTGTTGAAGACATATTTTTCAGTTTAGGTATGGCCAATTTTTAGGTGATGGTGAAATGTCTGATTTTGAGACACCATTTTTAGCATCCTGCATGGCAATAAGGTCTTTAACCTTCAATGCTTTCTTTGGTGTTATTTTCCTGGAATTGATTCCTGGAGAAACAGCAGCAGACGGCACAATAATAAGATCCTTAATTGGCGTACTGCTTGCTGTCTGTGTTTTTTTAGTAGGGGTTGTCGGTTTCTTGAGATTACCCTTGAGCATATTCACATCAATACTTCCTGTGGACTTTGACTTGCTCAACTTGGGCAGTTTCTTCTTCTCCTCTACAACTGCAGAAGTGTCCTTTGCTTTCTTCAGCATTGTGTCAGCTGTCATGATCTCGTACAACAATGGCGTCCCCATGTCATCTCCAGGGGTTGATTCAGACACAGAGGAAGACTTCTTCTTCCTTTTAATTGGTGCCGTGACTGGAAGAAGACAGGATCAAATGATCAAACTTGCTTGACCTCCCAAATAAATCTAGGTGGAATCACATGTTTATTGTGATACAGAGCTTTAATTGTAGCCAACAAGAATGTCAGAAAGTATTCACCATTGCCAGTAATGCACGGCCATGATAGTGTAAGCACTGACTACAGTAGAACCAAGCTGTATTACGATGCGTATAATATCTCCATTCCGTGTAATAATTATGAATACAATGTCTGTCTCTACTCCCAATAATAACACAACAATACTTGACATTGTATAAATGACTTTAGTTCAAGACCTGAGTCCTTAATATTCCACTAAATATTATGTTGGACTTTCAAAACCTACATCTGGCCAGATGGATGCACTGCTGAAAGCACCGCACGACTACACAATGTACCATCAGTCTTGACCTTATTCTGATCTTTGACCTTGGGACTTGTTGAAGACATATTTTTCAGTTTAGGTATGGCCAATTTTTTAGGTGATGGTGAAATGTCTGATTTCTAACAACCTCATTCGTAAAAGTCAGGTAAAAATTTGGATAAGGTACTAAACTTGGTAAAATACACAAAATAAATCATGATTCCCAAAGACTTATCAGCTATGTCCTTAATTACACATGCCATATTTCAAAATACCCAAAGTATCAGAAACAGTGTGTAATAACTTTACATAGCTTTTTCAACTTGCATACCTAAATATCTCTTCTGAACTTGAGTTACTCATAGAATGCAGGCATCACACAAACAAGAACTCTAGTCTACTGTTGTAAATATAAATAGAGCGTTACATATCACTAATTTAGATTAGCACATACATCACTGTTGTAAGTTCATGCAACACGTTACGAACTAGGGGCATCATGAGAACACAACACAAATTAGGCATCACATGAAACAGAATTATTAAAATAAATGAGACAGAATGTATCCAAGGAAAATGTACTGAACATCCAATGAATGCTATTGCTATTACCACCCAATGGGAGTAATAACTTGAAGTAACAACTCAAAACATTTGTATCTGAAACCCTAGGCAGAGTTTGTAGTTTTGGATCTGTAGGAAGAACAACTCTCCCTTAAAGTCAGTGATTAGTTTAGTTTTACACTGCTTTTAGCAATATTCGAGCAATATCACGGCAGGAGACACCAGAAATGGGCTTCACACATTTTACCCACGTGGGGAATCTTAGGCATGACAAGTGAATGCTTTAACCACATGCTACACCTCTTGCAGCCAATTCACATTTTGAATGGATAAAGCCCAAAATGAAAATTTTGAGGGGAATGCAAAAATGTTTGACTGATTGATTCAAACAGTATTAATATTGTTGACTGGATTCCATATTTAACTGATATTTTGGTAATCAGTTTGCTCAAAGTTCAGTGTATCATGGGCTGATTTTCTTCAATCTTGCAGAAAAACTTAAAATCCAAATCCAAATGGTTTTAAGTAAACTTCTTGGAAATAAATAGAAGCATGCAATGTGCCTGCCTCAGACCACTGCGTTCACACCTTTAACAGTCCAATGTTATAAATGAGAGTTGCTTGGACTGCAAATAGATACACCCAGGTAAATCTTTGCCCTTGGTTTCAGAAATTCAAGGTCACTAACCTGTCTCCTTCTCCTCTACAGCATCAACACTCTTCCTCTTCTTCTTTTTCTTCTTCTGCATCTGGTAGCTGAGTGAGAACCATGTCAGGAGTTCCTCCCCGGCTGGGATGTCCTGGAACACAGAGTGAGTGAGTGAGTGAGAAATTGGTTAGGTGCCCATTCAAACAGTTCAACCGTAACAGTGTTCAAAATTAAGTGGATCCTGGGGTATTTGATGTTTTCTACAATAGTACTGAAATGCAGACATTAAGTCTTTAACATTTAACATGACGGTTTAAGTTTGGATCTCTTGCCTTCAATGCTTAAATTTGAGCTGTTCAGATCATGTCAACTCGACTGGTGTGTATAGCACAAAGAAACACAGTCTTAATCATTTTAAGTTAAAATCACAAATATGGTAAAATAAAACAGCTCATTATTGGGGTCACTTTGGAACTAAGCCACAATGAGCAGATCCTGGCAAAGCCAAGGGAGACAACTTTGCAAATAGAATCATGGCATTCTAGACTCCTGGACTACATGGTTCAAGTGGAATGACATGACTTAACACAGCATTGTCAATGAAGTGGAAGTATTTTTAACAATTCATAAAATACATCCTGGTGGAGTGTCAGTGCTCGCACAAGCTTTCACAGAGAGGAAACATTTCAGTTGACATCGCTGCCAAATTCTATTAGAGAAAGACAGTATTCTGGATTCTAATGTAGCATTCCCACCTGCAAATGTCTTAACTGTATTTTAAATGAAAACTGTTCCCTTTCTGCCCTAAGTACGACAGTATGAGTGATTGTGTGAGGTTTAATGCCTCAGTAAATGGTGATCCCTACTAATGTGTCCGCTAAATCTCGGAACAAAGTCGAAGTGAAGCAAGTTGCAGACATTTTCCGAACACCAGAAGAATAACATCTTACCCTGATAGCCTTGTAGAATATTTCACTGCCGATCTGTACAGACACAATATTCTGCTCTTCAAAGTAGCGTGCACAGTTGACATATCTCATCCAGTTTCCTGTCTCCGGCTTAGTGGCGTTAATGATATGCATCAGCTCATTTGTGCTTGAGTCGTAAACCTGACATCAGAAGCATAAATACATTTTCATATTTTCTTCACATTAGAATCATCAGTGATACTGACATCATAGTTAATATAATAACAAGTGTAGTATATCCTTCCAACATTTGCTCTTACAAACTTGATCTTCATTATCACGATGAAAATAAGATAGATTTTCACTTGTCCATAAATATATAACTGGAGATGTCGTACACCATGGTAAAAGTTGTAGTGCAAATGGTGAGTGAGAATGTTTAGCGATTTTTCAACAATGTCACAGCAAAGAGCACAAGAAATGGGCTACACACATTGTACCCATGGAGGGAATCGAACCCTGGTCTTCGGCATGACGAGCCAACGCTTTAACCACTAGGCTACCTCACCCCCTCCTTGCCAGCTTTATGTTGGAGGGAACATGAAGGTATCATATGTCTATCACTTTGGTGAAATCCATGTACAGACAAACAAAGACTGACTGACTGAGTTTGGTTTTACGCCGCTTTTAGCAATATTCCAGCAACATCACAGCAGGGGACACCAGAAATGGGCTTCACACATTGTACCCATGTGGGGATTCGAACCTTGGTCTTGCGTGACGAGCCAACACTTTAACCACTAGGCTACCCCACAGCCCCGACAAAGATACATAATAATTGAGCATAATGGGATTCCAAATGAGCCCATAGATGCTTCTCTGTACAGTGAAAGGCAGTGCCATAGATGACATGGGCACTAGTTCCCCATTCACAAATTTGCACGCAGCTTGCATCAGAAACAGTTTTTATCATAACATTTAGTAAAAGTTCAGACAGTAATACAAGCAAAACTACAAAACATTTCCATATTTTCAGCATTGGATCAGATGAGACCTACCTCCCATGCATAGCGATAATCCACCTTGTTGTCACATCCCTCCAGGATTACCTCCCCTGCATAGGGGCCGTACATCTGTCCCTCCAGGACACGGTTCAGGCAAAACACACCTGAAGGGTGAAAGTTTGAGTGTGAGAGGCTGAATGGGATGTGAACATTTTCTCTGTGACTGCCTCAAAATTCAGAAGCAATATGACCAACCCTTTTATATTACAGCAGAAAGGAAGGCTTGGGATTTTATCCAAATATACATATACAGAACCCGCATAAATAAAATGTTAACAATTCAGAGTGTTCAAAGAAGGGACTGTATACCCCAAATATACACAGCAAATTGTTTTGTAAAACAATTATTTGGGCTCATAGCTTTAATTACAAATGACAAAATACCTGATTTTACAGCTGCAGTTGAATGGGATCCATACATATTCCCAGGACAAGAATATCTATCTCTAACCAGATCGGTCTCAAACCTGTTTTCATACATCTAAATTAATTCTGACAACACCCACAAATTGTACTTGATCCCAGTGGAAAAGCAGTTAAAATTACAGTTAAAACATATCCATTACAGAGTATTAGTGACCAGGGCCCTGTTGTACAAAACAACCTTAACAACCTGTCGTGAGTCTATGTTAAGGTATGGGAGTTACGATCACCTTAGCGCTAAGACTGTCGTGAGTCTATGTTAAGGTATGGGAGTTAATCACCTTAGTATGGTCTATGTTAAGGTAGTTATGATCACCTTAGCTAAGACTGTCGTGAGTCTATGTTAAGGTATGGGAGTTACGATCACCTTAGCGCTAAGACTGTCGTGAGTCTATGTTAAGGTATGGGAGTTACAATCACCTTAGCGCTAAGACTGTCGTGAGTCTATGTTAAGGTATGGGAGTTACAATCACCTTAGCGATAAGACTGTCACTCTAGTGAGTCTATGTTAAGGTATGGGAGTTACAATCACCTTAGCACTAAGACCAGTCATGAATCTATGTTAAAGTATAGGAGTTTCATGATCACCTTAAGCTAAGATAAATATGCTTTGTACAATGGCACCCTGCTATGTGGGTACAATGACAATCATTTCAGTTATAAGAAAACAACAGTGACACTCTAGTGAAACCAACAAGAATATAAGCACATTCGTGTATAGCTGTGTAAAACTGATTCTCATTACAAGCCATGTGTATATCTAGGTAGAAAGCACTTGGTTCCGTATTAACATGAAAGTATCTCGTCCACACTGGGACTACATCAAACTTCAAAACATAGCAGGTTTATCTGCGAAATAGACAAACGTGATTATCCTCAGCAAAAGTTGAGTATGTTTCTTTCGGGCAAGCCATCATGTGACTTGAGATGCCAGGGCCCGTTTCACAAAGCTATCGTAGCGCTACGACTGTCGTAAGTCAATGTAACAGTATAGGAGGTACGAAACCTACGAGAAAAGTTATGAGATCTTAGGCTTATGAGAGCTTTGTGAAACTGGGCCCTGGTCATCTTCAGGTTATTGGTCTAAATGTGTGAGTTTGCCATGTGAACGTAGTTTATTGCCACTGTCAGCATATTCCAGCCAATTCACAGCGACCTGTAAATGTTCGAATCTGAACCAGACAAACCAGTGACTGATACAATGAAATACAGTCCTTGCCATCAAGGTACATTACCATGTTCAGTAAATGATAAATACATCATCTAAAAATGTGTCTAATTCAAGAATAATGCATGTATACAACAACCTGATACTTGCACGTGGGGCTGCTTGTACTCATCCAGTTTAATTAGAAGATAAAGCTACTCTGTTTTCAATTTTGCTGTCCTTTATCGCTGATTTAAGACTGCTAAATGTAGTTTAAAAACCGAACGCGTTTAATGACCGATGTCAGACATGTTTGTTTACAAAACAGGGATTTACAGGATGCGAATTCCTGCGTCCTATACTCATAAAAATGGACAATGGATGCAACACAATGTATAAGCGCATCCACAGGGACACAGAAAAATTCCAATCAAATGACAATAAGTTATCACTGAGTTTGCTACTAGCTGGGTTATGGTATTATTTGCAATTTAATTACTGTAACAATGTGATGATCATGATACACAATACAATAACAGTATTAATAATAATATTTAAGAGTCTGGGACTCCCATTTTGTTGTCCAGGACCCCTGAAAATTAAGAGTACGAGTCTCAGGAACCCTCAAATACAGGACTACATGTAAATCCCTGCAAACAAAAGTGTCAACAAGTCAATGGGTCACTTTAATTAGCAGTCCTTAAACTGCCACTTAAGTACGGTTTTCATGAGCTCTCAGGCAATCAAAATTGAGTATCACACAATGTCGTGCAAGAATGTTGGTTTCACATTGCCAACACACTGAGATGCCAAGCAACAGTTTAACATGGATCCCCACTTACACACAGTATAATGACGAACAGTCTTTTTTTTATGCCCTTAATGTCAAGCACTACTTAGGCTAACAATAAGTATCATCTTATAACATCTACCGACAAAGGATCAAACCAGTGACCTTCACCTCTTCAGGTAGACTCTTGCAACTCGACCACAGAGCCAGTCAGAGCAGGTTAGAAACGACAGGTGATAAGATTATCTATCTATCAACTGGTGAAACACCTTCAAAGTAATGATTTTAATTAGCAAGCTTCACCCTCTGACCATTAGTTCATGTTGCAAAGTTTTACATGAAGCGCAAATGTGCATCCAATATGCACAAATGTTGAGAGAAAAAAATATCACTGCTTACAGACGGACGCACAATATTTCATCCACCAGTCCATATGATCAGTGATTCGTTGTAGAAATTACCCAAACCCCCATGTTTGTGAGTCGAGGTAAAACCCTCTGTTGATTTCGCCTTACCTTTTGTGCCATCCCCTACCCCTGAGTCCTTCAGAACAAGCCCCGGGGGAGTCAGCAGGTGGCGGGGGATGCTGTCTTGTGATGCTGTTGCCATGGCAACTACGTTGACATCATATAAAGTGTAGCATCTGGAAAATGAGGCAAATGTGTTCATGTCAATTAAATAATTATTTCTTAACATGTATTCATTTGTCATTAATGTTTTGTTACAATCTATTTTGATCACTATTCATATATAAATTCAAGTCAGATTATTTGTACGTAAGAATATTTGAAAGTTTATTATTGACATTTTGAATCAAAATATCGTGATATATCAACATACTGATTGATATTGAAATAATACATTATGTATACGTGTGGATAAATACTTCCAATTCAACCAATCAACTTGATGGTAAATATCAACCAGGATGATCCATTAAATGTCTAGAACTTAATATATTTCCTGCCTTCTTATTGTCCTAATTGAACCACACTAATATTAACAACACGTTAGCATTTCAGTTACTGAATAATAAATGTACTACCAATATTCCTAATTTGGTATCAGTATATTGACACAAACAATTTATTGATAAATGAATTTTGTATATGACATCCAAATAGTGAGCGAGTTTAGTTTTACTCCACTTTTAGCAATATTCCAGCAATATCACGACCCCAATGATAATTATGAGACTGAACAGAAAATAAATATTTGCATTTTCTTACCCTCACACTGAGTAATGAAGGATTTGAAAATAATCCACAATCTGAGCAGTATGAGCAACTGAAAATTTTCAAAAGTTTAAATCTTTTCACCAATCAACAAACACAGGTATACATATCAAATCTGGCTCTAACTACTACACAAAATTGCATCTGATTTTGTTTTCATAGCACCAGGAATATGATGCCATATACTATCGATAAATACACTGATCATTACAACAGTGCACAGGGTAAAAGGATTGTGACTGTACACCCTTTAACTGACAGGAAGATGTTTAAACAGAATTCTGGGTAACGGTTTGTGTTGTTTTTTGTAACTGTGAGCATCTGACTGAAAAACCGTGTCACAGTAAACACTTTCTGTCAATAACCATGGTAACAGGACATCAATAAGTCTTATGTTTGTTCCCATGACTGATTTTAGGCTCACCAAATTATAATTTTAAGTCCAGTCACTGACCCCCAATTTTGTAACCCAAGACTTACTAATATGTGTCTATATTGTTTACGTCAACGTAATCTCCTAAGACCAGTCTTCCCTCCATGAGAGATTAAGCTTCACAAAGTCAACACATGTTCCTCAATGCTGACCTCTACACTTCGACCCTGCTTACATATGTCGGCCATTCAGAAGATTATGCTAATCATCAGAAAGTGTCTCCCTGTAGAGATCAAACTGCTAACTGAACCTATGAGCACAGTTGGACACGTGTTTTCAACAATTAATCGCCATTCGACTATGACTACACTTATGCTAAATGTACTTCAGATAATACATTTAAATAAATCTATGCTGCATAGACATTTTATGAAAGCATGAGAGAGTGTCGGGATTAACACTACTGTGAACAGTATTCCAGTTATATCATGGTGTGTCAGCTTGTGGCTGGAAAACACGAGGAGATTCAGACTTGAGATGAGGAGGTTCAGACTTTAGATGAGGAGATTCAGACTTTAGATGAGGAGATTCAGACTTGTGGCTGGAAAACCCGAGGATTCAGACTTTAGATGAGGGAATCAGACTTTAGGTGAGGAGATTCAGACTTTAGACAAGGAGATTCAGACTTTAGATGAGGAGATTCAGACTTTAGATGAGGAGATTCAGACTTTAGATGAGGAGAGTCAGACTTTAGACAAGGAGATTCAGACTTTAGATGAGGAGATTCAGACTTTTAGATGAGGGAATCAGACTTTAGATGAGGAGAGTTCAGACTTTAGACGAGGAGATTCAGACTTTAGACAAGGAGATTCAGACTTTAGATGAGGAGATTCAGACTTTAGATGAGGAGATTCAGACTTTAAACGAGGAGATTCAGACTTCAGATGAGGAGATTCAGACTTTAGACAAGGAGATTCAGACTTAAGATGAGGAGATTCAGACTTTAGATGAGGAGATTCAGACTTTAGATGAGGAGATTCAGACTTTAGATGAGGAGATTCAGACTTTAGATGAGGAGATTCAGACTTTAGACGAGGAGATTCAGACTTTAGATGAGGAGATTCAGACTTTAGATGAGGAGATTCAGACTTTAGATGAGGAGATTCAGACTTTAGATGAGGAGATTCAGACTTTAGATGAGGAGATTCAGACTTTAGACAAGGAGATTCAGACTTTAGATGAGGAGATTCAGACTTTAGATGAGGAGATTCAGACTTTAGATGAGGAGATTCAGACTTTAGATGAGGAGATTCAGACTTTAGATGAGGAGATTCAGACTTTAAACGAGGAGATTCAGACTTTAGATGAGGAGATTCAGACTTTAGACAAGGAGATTCAGACTTAAGATGAGGGAGATTCCAGACTAGACGAGGGAGATTCAGACTTTAGATGAGGAGATTCAGACTTTAGATGAGGAGATTCAGACTTTAGACGAGGAGATTCAGACTTTAGATGAGGAGATTCAGACTTTAGACAAGGAGATTCAGACTTTAGATGAGGAGATTCAGACTTTAGACAAGGAGATTCAGACTTTAGATGAGGAGATTCAGACTAGACGAGGAGATTCAGACTTTAGATGAGGAGATTCAGACTTTAAACAAGGAGATTCAGACTTTAGATGAGGAGATTCAGACTTTAGATGAGGAGATTCAGACTTTAAACGAGGAGATTCAGACTTAAGATGAGGAGATTCAGACTTTAGACGAGGAGATTCAGACTTAAGATGAGGAGATTCAGACTAGACGAGGAGATCCAGACTTTAGATGAGGAGATTCAGACTTTAGATGAGGAGATTCAGACTTAGAGCGAGGAGATTCAGACTTTAGATGAGGAGATTCAGACTTTAGACAAGGAGATTCAGACTTTAGACGAGGAGATTCAGACTTTAGACGAGGAGATTCAGACTTTAGATGAGGAGATTCAGACTTTAGATGAGGAGATTCAGACTTTAGATGAGGAGATTCAGACTTTAGACAAGGAGATTCAGACTTTAGATGAGGAGATTCAGACTTTAGATGAGGAGATTCAGACTTTAGACTTTATTCAGACTTTAGATGAGGAGATTCAGACTTTAGATGAGGATTCAGATTTAACGACCCAGAGAGGAGATTCAGACTTTTAGATGAGGAGATTCAGACTTTAGACAAGGAGATTCAGACTTTAGATGAGGAGATTCAGACTTTAGACGAGGAGATTCAGACTTTAGATGAGGATGAGGAGATTTAGACTTTAGGATGAGGAGATTCAGACTTTAGATGAGGAGATTCAGACTTTAGACGAGGAGATTCAGACTTTAGATGAGGAGATTTAGACTTTAGATGAGAGATTCAGACTTTAGGACGAGGAGATTCAGACTTTAGATGAGGAGATTCAGACTTAACACGAGGAGATTCAGACTTTAGATGAGGAGATTCAGACTCTAGATGAGGAGATTTAGACTTTAGACCGAGGAGATTCAGACTTTAGATGAGGAGATTCAGACTTTACATGAGGAGATTCAGACTTTAGACAAGGAGATTCAGACTTTAGATGAGGAGATTCAGACTTTAGATTCAGACTTTAGATGAGATTCAGACTTTAGATGAGGAGATTCAGACTTTAGACGAGGAGATTCAGACTTTAGATGAGGAGATTCAGACTTTAGATGAGGAGATTCAGACTTTAGACGAGGAGATTCAGACTTTAGATGAGGAGATTCAGACTTTAGATGAGGAGATTCAGACTTTAGACGAGGAGATTCAGACTTCAGACGTGTACCACATTAGTGAAACACATAATGGATGCCAACTTCTGTAATACGAAGAACACCACGTTTTGGAGGATATTCTTGCTCCTTCATTATTTGAATGATTAAATCAGACGATAATCTGAGTAAATCTGGGATCTGAATCTATTATCAGGGATACAATGCTGTACTCTATAAAATTATAGAAATTGTAGCAGCGACTATAACCGTGTATAAAGACACTTTCACATAAAACCATATCTTTGATAACACCTCATACAAGACATTTTAGTGACTTAAAACAAATTAGAAACCCTGAGAATGATTCAGCCTCATATCAAAACTCTTGTCTTGACCTTCAGAAACTGTGTGAATGATATGACCTCATATGTTTCATTGACAAAAGGCACAAGAGATGAACAAATTTCATGCAAGTTTTCCTTTTTAATTATTCATGAGTCTGAGTGAGTGAGTGAGTTTGGTTTTACGCCGCTTTTAGCAATATTCCAGCAATATCACGGCGGGGGACACCAGAAATGGGCTTCACACATTGTACCCATGTGGGGATTCGAACCCGGGTCTTCGGCATGACGAGCGGACGCTTTAACCACTAGGCTACCCCACCGGCCCCTTATGAGTCTGAATAGTGAGCACATAGTTATCATGTCTACATGTCATGTACTATATATTCCATCAAAAAAAACCTTCCAAATCTCTGTAGCCAGTTTGACCATGAAACAGTTTCAAACCACATACAATAGGAAAGTAATCATATTCTCAAATGTTTCTCTTTCGGCTCAGATCTACATTATCTTTACAAAGCAGTCCACAAAGGTTCTGGTCACTGACATTCACTGTACATGTGTAGGTTAGTGCCTGATCTGAGGTGGGAGATATGGGAAATAAAACCCCAGGTATTAGCTAAAGGCTGTTATGCACCATATCACCTGTAAACTGGGTGAGCATTGTCTTCCACAACATAGGATCAAGTTTTACATGCTTGAGAAACCAGCACCAAGAGTAGTAGACTAACAACTAGTCTCTGAAATGAACATATTTTACTGAAAAAAGTTCATAGTAAAACAAAAATAAAATATAATGAAAAGGAGCCCTGAGACTTTCTTCATTTTCAGAAGCTGAGGAAATCTAGACTTGACACATTTTCTAGACTTGCGTTGGCTTTCTTGGATATATTTGCTTCAGGGTCTGTACGACAGACTACGAGAGTAGCTATATCACAGAATACTGTG